AAGAGCCCAGGGCAAAAGTCAGCTAGCTGTTTTAAGCAGAAAAATATGTAGATATAAAAATCAGAGAAAGAAGAAATGCAGCAGCTGAAAAAGAGACGAGAGGCGAAATGAACTGCAACAGTTTTTGTGCAGACGAAAAGAAATAAATAAATAAACAAACTTCATAACAATTTCCACTCGGGCCGAGATTGAAAATCGATCGATGCGGTTGATTGAGTGGTCGAAGGGGGGTTGGCCTGTCATCAAATCTGAATATTTTACCAGTTCATCATTTCCACTTTTGCCCCAGAATGGCTGGCCAAAACCTAAAAATAAATAATTAAGGTAATTCCTTGTGAGCTTGTGAGTTTGTCTATGCGAAGGACTCTTAAAATGTCATCATCATCAGCAAGGTGAAATGAGCAGACACTTGCAAGCGTATCGAATGGCGCAATGGAAAAATCCACAGGCCACAAGCAAACTCAATTAAAAGCCCATTGATAGGGGATATTTTCCATTTTCCCACATATATATATAGTATTTATTATGTGAGAGCAAATATAAGACAGCCCAAGTACTCGCTTTTTATCCACCTAGAACATATGTATGCTCGATGGTATTATTTATAACCGAGCCGATTGCACAAGCTTCGCCATATGGTGGCCCCAAGGAACTGGAGAATGAATCCTGGAATGAAGAGGGGGCGAGAAAGAGCTACTGAAGGAGGATTTGCGAATGCAAAGTTGATAATAATTAGATTGATTACAGTGGGGTGGGATGGTGGATGGTCTAGCTACCAACTACTGGGCACCAAAGAGGATTATTCGCAGTCCACTCGACCAGCTGGAGGAGATGAGCATCGAGGAAAGGAGCTCACTAAGCTGAACCCAGGATTATGGCCATATGCACCATATTTACTTCAGTATAAAATTCCAGACAACAAAAAACAAAAAGTTCATCGCAAAAGTTTGGTGTCAGGAATTGTGTTAATATTTCATATGGCCCATCCTTGAATTTTGCAACTATTTTTGTGTAAAGTGGAGGAGGGTGGGTATAAGAAATCGGATTTAGCCTTGAAGCTTTTGTTTTGGGTTTTGCTTTGGGTTTAGTTATTAATGAAATTAAAAAACAATTTTTATTAAAAATAAGATGAATTCCAACGCCCACAATCGCCTTAAATGATCTTAAGAAAAGGTCCACTTTGTAAAGTGTAAATGCCGTTTGGTTGTGCTTATAAATACCTAACGAAATGTTGAAAAAATTTTAAAATAGGATTATTTATGAAGAAGTTATTAGCAAAGCAAATAATGGAAGGCAAGCAGTGCAAGCAGTCGATTAACTGCTTGCGTAACTTCACGGGTATCTGATCGTAGAGGTGCATGTTAAATTAAAGGACAGCCTTAAATATTCAAACTAAAATTACTTTAAGGACCTTTTTCCCTTGCCCTTCTTTTTGTGTTGTCCCTCAACATCCTTTAATGCGCATTTGAACTCACCTCCTGATCGCCCGACCCCAATGACCTCCGGCTGAAATGTAACGGCATTCGAGGGTCGCGATGGCGGAGAATGTGATGTCAGGGAGTCAGATGCAGGCGCCGTGGCAAGTGATGCGTGTGGTAAATGCTGCAGCCTGCAGGACATCCCCCCCCTCAGCACATCCTGTCCGCTGTCCGTTTATTTTTTCTGCTGCCTTTTTTTGTTTGTTTGTTTGTGTTTTTGCACCAGGCATCGGCAGCGGCATCGGCATCGGACTTCAGACAGGCCCGCCATCGCTCGTTACAAATCATTTTAATGCGGTTACACACCCCTCGATTCGCGTGGCAGCCAGGACCTCGGTGGCCAGGACCTCGGTAGCCAACGCCCACAACCGCATCATGTAAATAAAAATTATGAAAAGTTGTCGCGGCAGCGCGTGGCAAAATTCCACATAAGTATGCATTTAAAAATAATTTATGGCAAACGAGAAGGAATGAATGAGGAGCATGGAGGATCAGAGGAGTTTCCTTTAAATGGACACAGTCGGCAGGACAAAGTGCGCTTAATGAGGCTCAACGCAACAACATGCCGCAATATGGTGGGCGAAGTGGGCGGTGGGCGAATTACGAAGGACGTGCCGTTTAAACACACACAATGCAGCCTTAGCATCTGCTTATTTTTTCGCCCATTTTCATTTTGCCTTGTATAATAATTTTCCAGCCTGAATTTCCAGCACTTAAAGCCCAAAGCCTGTCAACCGGTGTGCGAAACGCCATGGGTTTTTGGGTTTTCGGGGTTTTTGGGTTCTGCGGTCCATCAGGATCAACGTTTTGGGATTAATTAATGATGCCGAACGTCCGCCTGTCCGCTTGTCCGTTGTCCGCTTGTCCGTTTGTCCATTGTCCGCTCAAGCTGCTGCTTCGTATGAAAAATGCGCATAAAATATGAGCGTAAAATATTTATAAAAGCCCACTACACACATACGCGTTAACTGTCATTGCACTTTGCGGCTTTTTTTTTAATATATGGTATGGCCGCCCTTTAAGCGGCTCTCCTGTTTCACAAACTTATTCAGCACTGAGTACTGAGTGCTGGCCTAGAGCCGGCAGCGTAGAAATTACATTACATTTTACAAGCGACATGGGGCGTTCGTTCTCGAGGCAACCAGGACACCCAGGACACCCAGGACATCCAGGACATTCAGGCCATCCAGGCCAATAACAAACAACCGGGGGGCGTTCGTTCAGTTCGTTCGCTGCGGCTTCGGCCAGCATAAAAATTTAAAATATTAACATAAATTTTTACAATGAGGCAACAATTTGCAGGACGAGGCAAGCAGCTCCCAAAGGGGCGGTGGGGGCGTGGCAGCGCCTTCGCTGGTGTTAAATATTTTGTAATAAGCACAATAAACCAAAGCAGCAGCAAAACAAGCTCGAAATTTATTCACCAAGCCAGGCAAGGCGAAAAGGGAGAGGATAAATGTGGTTCAGGATACGCCAGACTGCCTGATAATGGTTCAATTATTTTTCCGCCCTATTTAACTGCAAGTAAAACGGTCTTTGCTGGGCCCTGGACATAAACCTCCACCTACCACCCACCTTCGTATTTCCACATTTTTCACAATGGCCAGCCAACCTCAACGCTCACGGATATGTTGGACAATTTTCCGGCCATAGACGAGTGGAGACGTGCAGATACATTTGCCACCTACTACTACGAATCCCGACCCTCGTTGGCTTCACCAACCGCAAAAATTTGTCACACGTCATATGTATGGTCGTCCGCCCGCCTTTTTTGCCCACCGAGTGGAACAAAGCGCTTTATATATGCGCCATTGTCAGCCCGTTAAAGGCGACTCAATTGGTTTGCCACTGTTCGTTCGAGTCCCTGTCCCCCAGAGGATATCCCTGACTGACCTTTCAACAAAAGACACATCCTAAGAAGATCCTTCATAGTTGAAATTAATTATTAAATTATTAGCTATGTGGATGTTGATTAGTAATTAATAAAAACAGATAAAGAGAGCAAGGAAGAACGCTATAGTCGAGTTATGCAAGTAGTAAAGAGACTGATTCCACTACTTGCATTTTTTCATTATTATTTGCTTATTACTTTTAAATGAATTTTCCGATTTGAAATTTTTCTTCTACACTTCGATAGGTATTTATAAACACAACCAAAGGCATTCACACTTTTACATATTCTGTAAAGATGTGGGATAAAAAGCCCCATTTTAAACGGTGCACTTGGCTTGAACAGCGGCTCTCGGGCCAAATTGCAAATGATTTTGGAACGCCTAGGCATTTAACATTAATTAACATTAATATAGCCATCCTGCTATGCTGGGACTCGAAGGACTCGGGGAGGAACCGCAGGACTAGCAGGATGCGAAACTCGAGGCCTTAATAACTCAGTTAAACAGCTTATGGGCAATTTAAGGGCCGCAAAGTGAGGAAGGGGAACTCGGACTCGAGCTCGCAAACCAAACCCCCGATTCGCTGTCGTTTCCTGTGTGCACTTTTGAAATTCTTTGCGGATACAGAAATTTAATTTCCTTTGTAGCGTTTTTATTGCTATTTATTATTATGATTATTATGTAGCTATAGCACTATAGACATTTTGTCGGCCCCGTGTTTGCCGCTCTCTCTCGAATCGACTCCATCGACTACGGCCATCCACCCATCGTTATGATGGTCATAAATTTGTTTGCTCGCCCAGCTCATTGTGCCTGCGATTCTGGATGGTGGATGGTTGGTGGATGTCGATGGTCCGATGGCGTCGAAGGGTTCGATATGCAAACAACAATATTTGCGCAAATTGTTTGGATCCCCCCCCGCCCCCTCGAAAGCGGGTCTGTAAAATTGATGCCCACTGTTGCTTCGCCTGATTATGTTGGGCATTGTGTGTCCAACTGCTTGTAAAACTATAAAGTTTCATGATTTATCGCAAATTCGGCACTTCGAAGCCGTGGAATATTGAAAATGGCTTACTCCCTAGCTGGCTTTTCAGAGCAGTGTCTTTACTTAAAAAATCTAGCTTCATAATTTAAGCTTATCTACAGCTCAATAGTCAAAATGAAAAGAGGCGCCCGAACAGGGACCTTAAGGTCCTATATGAAAATATTTATTAATAAGGTATCTATATTGAATGTACAATTGTGTACAGGTATTTTAATAATTAATTAATAATATCAAATAATGAATAAAAATCAATATGTGGGTGGTATTAAGAAGGATTTCATTTTCCACTGGCATGTTTTTCAAAATTAGAAGAAAGTTCGTGCTTAAATTTATAGGAATTTTTGTTTGGGGGAGTTTTTCAAGTGTGCGTCCTTGCCGGCGGCTGATTGCGAATCCTGCTGAACCCTTGACTCATTCTCATACTCAAACGCAGCCCCGCTGGCACTCGAAATTAAACCGCAAAATATTCGCATATGAATATTCCTGGGCGGCCATCTTTTGGGATCTCGCAGCTTGAGCCAGGTCATAATAATATCCCTTCTCATCTTCTTCTTGTTTTGCTTCTTATTTTTTTTTTTTTTGCAGGCCGCCCAAGGACGACGAGTCCGAACCCAAAAACCGAAGAGCGGAAAAAGTAAAGCCGCAGACGGGTAAGTTTCAGTTTCAGTTTCCGACCATCGGGGAGCGGCCTCTCGGCTCGATAATGAAGTTGAATGTGTTGACAAGTTTATTTGCTTAATTTTTGTTCGGCACGCCATTTTTGAGATTCCACGGGCTCTTGGGGCCCGTTTCCCGAAAGAGGCCGCCGGGAGTGGCTCAGGCTCAGGCTGAGGCTCAGGTCCAAGTTCCCATTTCCCAGTTCCACGTTCCAAGTTCCCCGGGGGGGCGACTTAATACACATTCGACGCGGGGCGCGGCCCGCTGACAGGCGCCCTCCATCACAATGATGAGTCGTTGATAAATACGGAACGAGGTTATGTACACTCCGTTATGTCGGGGGCGTCTGAAAACAAGTTCAATGCGATCCGAGAAGGGGAAGGGTTCTGGTTTTCGCTCTAGGCAGGTGGGGCCTCGCTTGGTCCTTGAACTCACTCGTTTTACTCTAGTGATTTTACCATCGCAAATAAGTGGTTATTCCTGAAAGGCATAGGGTTTGGCCAACGGAAAGTTTGTAAGCCCCTCCCCATATAGCTTTTTTAGATGCTCTAATGAGTTATTACCATTTAACATGTTTACCGTTTTGATGGTTCTAAGCACTACAATCCTATAATGCACAGTTTGGGGTCTTAAAATGATGTTAAAAGCCGATTAAAAAGCAGATGAAATTTTAGAATTTAGCCATTATTGTGGGGTTTTACATTAAATAATTAGAATAAATTTGTTAATCCTGTTTGGAACAGATGTATATATAATGACTGATGTTGATTTAGGGAATATAAAAACATGTGCATTAACTTTTAAAGTGGCGCCCGAGCAGGGATCGTACTTGCATCCTCATAAAACGATATGAAAACTATGGAAGGTTGTGCATTTATAAAGAAGGTTAGAATTGTAGGCAAATTGAGTGAGTAGTGAGTGCAGAAATCAAGGCGACAAGTGGCGCCCGAGCAGGGACCCTACTCCTAGCACTTTTCACGAATCATGAGCCTCCTCAATTTGTTCCTCGGAATCTGGAAAACCTCCACCACAGCCCTTTATCGTCGTTCCTGTCGTTGGCTTTGTGCGGCCAATTAGAGCGTTTTGACGCCGCCTCGGGTCACTTTGCGTGCCATTTGCTTATTTTGCTTTATGCATTTCATTCCCCAAATTGCGGTCATAATTTGGTAGCTCACGGCCTGCCCTTTTGTGGTAAAGAGAGGTCTGCTCGATTCACACTCGTCGTTTGCCAATCTGATATTTTAATAAATAATAATAAATAATTCGATGTTTGTGGGTTATCAACCCAAAGTGAGGTATGTATTTTTCAGTGAAGAGAACTATTTCTTAAGAGTCAATTAAAAAATTGTAGAGTATCCAGTGGACGGCTTTTCCATTTTCTATTTCAATTTCCGCTCTGCCTTTCAGCCCTCTGCCTTTTGCTCCGTTTGTTTGTGAAAGTAATAAAATAATTATTAATTATGAACTGGCATAAGCACACATTTACATTTACATGAAGGCTCTATTTGCGGCGTGTGTAAATATTTAATTTGAGCATTGTGAGCAATGACCTGGCAATGGGCACCGAACATGTTCGTTTATCGATTTAAAGGGCCTAAGCCTCTGTTACAAAACCCTATAACCCTAGAAAACCCAGAGCAGTGCGTATGAGCATCACGTATACGGCCCGTGTTCCTCGTGTACAAAAAGTGTGCTGACAAAACGAGCGGTTAAGGGAAAACCGAAAGGCCAATTACTTATGCCAGTGGCAAAGGAAACCAGGGGCGCATTAAGTACATTATGCACTCGGTGCTGCTGTTTCTGTAGCTGCCTTTGCTTCTGCTGTTCCTGTCACACAAGCTGCCAGGATCATCTGGGTCCTGGGTCCTGCGAGGGCGGACGTAACTGGCAACTGGCAACTGGCAGCTGCATATATTAGCCAAGTTTCGCCCTCGTTCTAGGCCCGAGCTCACGTTTTCCTTGCCATTCCCTTCCTTTCGCCTCGTTCGTTACACTCTTTCCTGTTGGAGGCTAGAACATAGAACATCTAGCGGTCCGTTCGAGCCAGAAAACCCAAACCAGTTGGTGGAAAACACACCCACACTCAGCCGAAGCGAAGCAAAACCACGCCTCTAAGTTCGCTCAACGGAAACGGAAATAATTTGTCATTTTATTTCTATTTTATGATTATTTATTTTATTCCAACATTCTGTTTCTGCTACTGCTTCGGCACAGGGATATTTACTCTGCGAGCCGCAGGACTTACACACTCGCTCACACATACATTAGCATTAGTTTTTGGCCACGCTAACGGACTTCCGTCAGCCGTCAAGCGTTCGGGGCGACTTGCGTTTCAAGTGCCACAAATTGTTGCATGCTTTGCGGGGCCTGTCCGATGTCCTCTTAGCTGTGAACTCAGTGGCACAGTGGAGCTCTAACGGCGATTTATTCCTTTAATAATATTTAAAAATATTAAATAAAAGTTATAAGAAAATAAATATAAAATATAAAAGTCGCTATTTAAATTCTACAAGTCAAATTCAAATCACAAACCAGCAAAGCTACAGCGTCCATATTTTTACCAAATATTCCTAATAAATTGTAGACTTACGCTAATAAGTGATTTCTTTAATCAGCTGCGACTTTTCACATTTAAACTCATTTAGAGCCTAAAGGCTCTTACAAACAATTTAACATTTAAAAATATATAAATCCAATTCACAGATTACATTCATCATCTTTACTTTTTAGCACTTATATATTGGTTACACAAATAATATGTACTTTGCTCTCTTTTAAAAAAATGATTACTTTTTTGCTGTCAATAAATGGCCGACCGAAAATATATTCATATGTATTTTATGCGTATTTAGTAGCGAAATGTGAAATGTGTGCAAAAGCAGCGCTTTAATCGATTTTTATTCAGTCTTCAGAGATAAGTCTTCTGGCCATTTGTGAAAATCATTTATAATTTTTACACACATATACGATTATTTATTTTTTTGTATTTTTTTTTTGCCAATTTGCTCTGACATTTTAAGTGATTATATTTAACGACCAATTGAGCTTGCAGTTTGTAAGTTGGTAAGTGCAAAGGCGATTGGGTTGGGTTTTTTACCCTGACATTGCCACTGTACTTGGGATATATCTATGTTTATCTGGAATCCTGTCCCCCCTTTTGGGACCCACTTTTCATAGGCTATCGCTTACTTGCGCATACTTAGTGGGCAGCCAGTCGCCTTGTTGTTCATGTCACATTCCCTTTTTGCTTTTTTCCAGCTTTTTTTTTCTATTTTCTCTATTTTTTTTTAGCTTTGTTTTGACCACATTGCTGTCCTGTCGTCCTGTCGTCGTCGTCGTTCTTGTTTGTTGGCTTGTTCAACAATCTCGTGCGTAATTTTCACCCCTCCCCCGAAAGTCCAACGGGGAAAGTGTGTGTGTCACTTTATTTATGGGCTCGCTTAGGCGACTCCAAGTTTCAGGTTTAGTTTCGCATCCAGTTACCCCACCACATCCACTTGCACATCCACATACCGATTCTGCTGCTGACCACTGATACAGTGATTTTTCATGCGATGATTAATTAACTAAAGTCCAGGCCAGGCCAGTCTACTCCGCTTGTGTTCCCGTTCTGGCCATTATTTAGGCCCGCCGACGACGCCCATAAATATTTAGGCCAGGTCCAAAGTGGGCGAGGCGAGGTGAGGTGGGCGTGTTTAATTTCCACTCGAGCACCTTCAACACGCCGAAACGCTGAAAAACGCAAAACAAATTGAAAAAATGAAAAAAAAAGAAAAATAAAAGCGGGCTCGGAAAATACATAACGAAGAGCAAAGCGAATTACTCTTAATGAGTTGGAAAATGCAAACAAAGAGCTGCATAAAGTTGGCTGAAATCGCACAGCCAAGTAGTCTGTGGACTGTTGGCCAAAGTGGGCTGAATAAAAAATGAGCGCCTCCTTTTCTCCTTTTGGCCAGGAAGCGCGGCCAAAGCGGCCGGATATTACAATACAAAACGAGCGGAATGGCCAAAAAGAGGAATCAAATTAATGCAAACAGTTGAGTGAAAACTATGACGGCCATGTGGCAGAGGTCGGACGGAGCGGCCCAAGTGAAGCGACAACTTTGCGTCGACTTTCTGGCACATTGTTTGCATTATATTTGAATATTATTAACAGGAAAAATGTGGCTGGAGGAAAAAATTCCAAGAGAAGTGGTCAAAGGCGAAGACGACAGGAATACCCTGGAAAAGGAATCAAAGGAAAAGGAATCAAAGTCACAGGAGCATTCCTGAGATCTGTGATCCCATTGAATGACTTTTGACTTTGATGCGAAGGAATTTCCTTTTGCAATGGAATTAAAGAATCGCCTTTAAGCAAGTGCATATTCAAAGGTGAAAAGACAACAATGCAGCCACTTCTGGACTTCTGTGGCCCTTTTGGCCCTCAAATCCTGACTACTGACTATTGACTTCTGACTCCAACTCGGACTCACTGCCTTTTTGCGGGCCCAGCTGCATTGACAAATGCCTTGGCTATTGTGCCCTCTGTTAGAGGGTATACATAATGGATGCCTTCATTTCCGCTTCCGAATACTGTTGCTGGGTTCCCATGGAGCCCGCTTCTGTGGGCCAACAAGTACATCGCCATTATTAGGTCATGATTTTCCAGCTCAAGATGTAAGCTGCCGTCGTCATGTGTCCCGGATTTCAAGTATAAAATAAAATACTTTAAAAGTCCTAGTTAGAAAAAATACTAGATAATATCGAAATATACCCGAAACAGTAGTAAAAGTATTATATTATTTTGACATATATTTTTTTGTAAATAAAATAAAATTGTACAATAATTGAGTCAAAAACAATTAGAATTTGTTTTTTAATCGTAGTAAAATGATTAATTTAGTTGGAATTATTTTCCAAATAAAAATAAATATCCTGGTATAATCATAAGCATTTTTTTTCGCACATTAGATATGTTGCACATTTTAAATGCACCATAAAGTCGACTCATGGT